AGATGAGTTGTGAAGTAGTTACAGGAGCTTACCAATGCTTGATGTTTTGAAACCTCCACACGCCTCCAACCCTGTATCAGAACAAAAGAAAGGTCAAAACTCACTCAAAAAACTGATTTCTTATCACATGTCTTGCTAAGTAAAATATTCAACTAAACATTTGAGGTTCCAACTAATAAGAAATAGATATACTAACATGAAACTGCTAATGTAATTTACCACTATTCACCTCAGGCACAATATTTAATTCTCACGGCATACTAATAAAGGATCCCTTTTATTTTGCTCTTTCTTTCCATTTGATCTTTCTTTCCATGTCATTATAAAAGTTATTTCTGAACAAAACCGAACCAATCATTCATAGTAGATATTTGGAAAAAGTGTCAATGAAGAATGAGTATAAATTTGTTTGTATTGGGGGGGAAAAAAAGAAGAAGAAGAACGAGTATAAACTTACATTTATTCTTTCTTCTACCTGTGGTAATGTTCAAATCTAGATTTTTTGTTTATTTTCTTTAACCCAGACAATGTTAAAATGTTATATCTACTCTGGTAAGAGATTACTGGATATTTTAAGCCTTGTTATCATCGTCAGACCTTTGATGTTAATGCCTTATAGGCTTGATGGGTCAAGTAAAAAACTGAACCACCAACTGCCCCAGCAAGGTACAACTTCAGCAAGTATTCAGGTCCTAAAAATCTTCCAATCTGCCAAGAGGAATAAGTAGTGGTATTATTATTAGAAACCAATTGAAGAAGGACATCATTGAAAACAGGAAATAAGGAAACCAGCAAAAAAGAAATAAGTCCAAAAAATATGCGAGTAACAATAATGCTAAACTTCAATTAAGACCCTTAAAAGGCCTGGAAATACAAAAATATAATATCCTAATGGCAAATAAAAACATTATTAATCAAGCATGCCAACAAAGGTGAAAGCATGAAACTCTCAAAGTTTAAACCTAAACATGGTGACAGCATGAAAATTCTATCAAACTGAAAGCTGTCGTTAATTATACACAGCAGTAGGAGTTAGTTAGAAGGAGCCATAGTTATGTTAGTTATTGAACATAGTGGACTGGTCGTATACTTAGATAAGTACAAATAGGGGGGTCCAGGACTAAAATCATAATGTTAGCTCACTGACAAGATTAGTCAATAGTACTCTCCGATTTCCTTTTCTATTCTCTCTATCCTCTCTGTTCCTACTCTTCTCTCCTTCTTATCTTCCCTCTTCTTGCCTTCTTCCCACATCAAAATTCAACCTCTTCATCACAATACAAGCCCATAATAAAACATTTTAAGAGGATAATCCAGCAAAAATAACTATAATATCTATGAAACAAAAGGCATACTCCCTCTTCAGTGCTATAAATCCGAATTGAAGATAATAAATAAAAGGGCATAATTAATGTTATTAAAAAAGAACCGGCTCAAAATAAGTATAAGCTAGTTGTGCAAAGGAGATTTAGTTTCTTTAAGCTCAAAGCAAACTTGAAAGTGCCAATAAAATGCATTAGCCTAACTGTATGCATGCTCTTCGAAGTTTAGACTAATCCGAATATCTTTAAATTGTAATGCATAATTAATGGAACATTACCTATGGCTTTTCCACAAATACAAAAGTTTGTTGCAAGATAATTATGCATTATCTTCAAAAAAAGGATGAAGGAAAAGTCAAGCTCAAGAAAGACAAATCCGAGGCTAAATATTCAATTTTAGAACAGATAAACGCACACTAGTCCCAAAAGTAGAGTCCAATCATGTTAGAAATGATATGCTCCACGTCAATGTGGCTGAATGCATTGGTTATCAAAGTGTGCAAGCGTCCGCAATTGAGATTGTGCAACGAGATCTGCTCACAGAATCCACTTCAGTTAGTGATCCAGATGAAGTATAGTCCATACAGTAAATTGATAGAAACAATGCATGTCTCTCAAGTCTGCCCATCAATATAAATAGAAAGGATAACGAGTTAGCTATCAAACTTATAACCAACCACACCAGCAGTCTGACATAGATCTGAACAAGTATGGGGAAGCCATTAAAAAAAAAAAAAACAGAGAGAGAGAGAGAGAGAGATTTGTAAGGAGAGAAATTCATGCCACTTGTGCACCACAAGAATTACTTGTGGCTGCTCAATGTTGAACTCCATCGTAACACCCCCTAAAGTGCTGATATCCTCAACAGCTGCACTCTGTAACACTCACTCTGACCACCAGGCAGCACTCTCTACAGGTAGCTCTTTCAATGGAAGTTGATCTAACGCAGGTAACAATTGGTAGAGACCTTAGTAATCATGAGAAACCCAGAACCCACCCTAAAAACAGACCTCTAAGAGAAAAGAACCATAATACTTAAGTACCAAAAGAATACTTGTTGCTACCTGATATGGGACTCTATCACAGTCATAATGACCGTGGTACCACGATATTAAAGATTGATATGACAGTTATTATGTTTATATTATACTACATTGCAATATCAATTAGCACATTGTAACAAACTTCCAATGAAAATTTAAGGCGTCACCTACAAAGATGGAAATGTGGTTCAAAACAATGGCCTCACAAGTACTATCTACCCTTGGAATCATCATGTACCTCATATTTTATAAATTAAGAAACTTACTGTAAAGTTTTCTGACATAAATTTTTCACTGGCTATTCTCCATGATAAAAAGACGACAACATTAGCTACAATCAAGCCCAAAACCACGTCATTAGTAGTTAATCCTTTGAACCATGATCTCCTGCGAACAGCAGAAAAAATATTAACGACATACCACACATTTGAACATCAAAGTTTTGGATTTTCCACCAACAACTAGTAAAACAAAATTAAAACCTCTTCAGTTTGCACAGACCTATTGAATAGAGTAGAGAGATAAAAATGAGAAATTAACAGTAAACTAGACAGATTTTTATCACATCGTATTTGTTGCTCATGACCATGCACCACAGCTGCAAATAGCATGAAATGCATATTGTGAAGATTGAGGCGGTTGCTAGTTAGTAGATATGCAAATAAATGAACAGCTGGAAGGGCATAAGATAAAGCTCTTTTTTTTTTTTTAATGCAATCAAGCTATGAAGCACGACCGCATAGAAACAAGATCTGTATCGTCATATTTAACCCCGGGTTATTACACAAACACACAATATTTCCAATGCAAAAGGGCAGTAAAGTTTACTGAATCAATTTTCCACCATCAAGATTTTAAAGTGATAACATTAGTATACATATGCTAGCATTCAGAAATTTCTAAATTCGCTCGGCACACTATTATATTACTTTGCAGCAATGTGCTAACAAATACTATTTAAAGAACAAAACCATCAGCACCTCCCTTCAAAATACAACTTAAATTTACCATTAGCGACACCAAGAAGGTAAACAGAAAGGAAAGAATAAAATGAAAACAGAATGCACTCCTCATTTAATCTTAAATGCTCAAAGTCGAGCTATTTCCGCTAGAAAACCAAGAATTTTACCATCCACCACTGTAGTAACGAAAGCTGCGATTGGCATCAAAGCTCTTGCCATGAAACTGAGCTCTCAGAAGCTGCGGCCTAAAACCTCCGGCCCTTCCGCCAGAAATCCTGAGGACAGAGTTGGACGAATTGAACATGAAGTGACGAGCGAACAATGGACCAGAGCGGAACCCGAGAAAGATCCCAGAAACAGTATGCTCGGAGCCCCATGGATGAAAAGGGTGGAGAGGAGGATTTAGAGAAGAAGCAGAAGTGTGGGGAGGTAAAGGCTTGGGGAGAGAGTAAGAGGGGAAGATACGGCGGGTTTTGTCTGAGAGTGTGACAGCTTGGCGGAGAAAACGTTGCATATCTGAAAATCTTCGAAGGCCTAAAGAAGTGCTAAGGGAGGCTTTGGCTTGAACACCGTCTCCATTGCTGCTTCCGACGGCTTTTCAAAGCCGTGTCGACGTAAGAGGAAACGGAATCGCCCCGCTTTTCTAGCGCTGCTTCCTGATTAACCATTCGCGGGTGTTTCCCCCCTTTTTCTCCTTTTTTTTGGGGAAAAAAAAGCCCGAACTAAAATTATGAAAATATAAGAAAATACCAATGTGTTTTTTTAGTGTTCAGATCAAATCTAATTATTTTCCAAACTAGCACAATGATATATTACAATGGTATATTGGTCATTTCCTCACGTTTTTCATAATTTCAGTTCAAGCTTTCCCCCTTTTCCTATCATTTGGAAAAGTTAATTGCCCATGTTGAAATTTTCTATTTACAAGGATTTTTTTGTCATTTTCCTTTTCTTTTGTTTTCATATGTTTGTGTTACGTATTACTCACTGTTTTTTTTTTTTCATATGTTTGTGCTATGTGTTACTCACTTTTTCTTGTCCATGGATATATCCGAAGTTATAAACTAATATTTTTATTTTTATTCTTATTAAATATATGTCATTTATTATCTTTCTGAAATAAACTTTCATTCATCATTTCTCATATATTCTCTTTACAAATAAAGATATAACAGGAATATAATATGTATTTTACATATTTATTTCTTTTAATTGCATTTAACTAATATTTTAAACCGCATAACTTTGGCAGTTGTTCTTATAATGATAGAGGGAATAATTAATTTTGGCTGGAGCGTGCTGCTTTTTTCGGCTAGAGACTAAAGTATGCTTTTAATATTTTAACTTTACATAAAATTTTAGTTTGATTTCTTAACTTTTAAAAATATATTTTTAGTTCATTAATCCTAAAATTATTGATAAAAAAAATGATAATATTGGGATTTTGAATGTTGATAAAATATTCTCAAGACTAACATATTAAATTTAATTTTCAAAACAACCATTATTGCTAAAAAAAAGTTATCATTTAAAAATAATAATTTTAGGATTAAATGACTAAAAATATTTTTTTAAAATTAAGGATCAAAAATCAAATATATATATTTTTTAAAATCAAATATATACTTTAGTGGTTTTTCCCCCCTCCCCTGAACCAAGGTTAGACTTCAATTTCTGCAATTTTAAAATAATTTTTCTCGTATTTTCTCTCGAGCACTTGAAAATTTTATGTGAAGCAATATTGATTTTGAAATATCTTAAAAAAAATTCTTTGATACAAGTCATTAAAGTTTTTGTTCCTTTGTAGATAAATAAACAATGATCTGGCTTGAAGTCTAAATGCTAATTATCTTGAGACATTCTTTTAATATTAAATTAAATCTACATATCAATATCTGTGCCTGAAAAACTCATATCTCAGTATTATAATCATTTTATTTTGTTTAATTCCATATTTCAAAAAACTATTGTTGATTTAGTATTTGAACAAATATATGAAATAGCACCAAACTCACCTACATTCTTTTTATAAGTCTCAATTAAGAACTTTACACAAATTAAAAAAACATTAAAACCAGTTATTTATTGTAAAATCTCAAAGTTATCGTCACTAAAAAAATCATTAGTTAAGAAAATCTGATAAATTAGTTAGGAATAGAAAGTGAAAAAAAAAAAACTTAAGCAAAACACGATATATTATAATATGCTCTTGTTTTTTTCCTTTTTTTTTGTTTTGGGTACAATAATATGCTCCTATTTCCTGGTAAGACAAGTTGAAGGGCTGATTGTACAGAATGACTGGGCCGGCATTGTGTCTCTATCAAGGGCTAGCATTAGGAAGTGATAGTTGCAGCTTAATACTACGTGGGCCCAGACGCGAGTTAGTTAAGCCCAATAATCCAGAGTATTTCGGAGAAATTATGGCAAACCCCAAACCATGCACAATTGTTTGGGGTTAGGTACGTTCTCAAACAGCTGGAGTCTTTGCGCCTAGATAAAGAGGAATTTGGCAGTAGAAACCCCCCCGGGGGGGGGGGACGGAGTGGGTTTTTTTTCTTTTTTTGTTTTGTTTTGGGGTTGTTGGGGGGGGGGGGCGTAAACTAATACATTGCATCAATGAAAATTGAGGTTTGCAATCATGGAAGTAAATTATAATCTTCCTCTCCGAATTCGGGCCCAAGCAATGGCTGCAACGGCAGCACCCCCCAAATGTGCAGAACCTGATATATGACTGTCTCCCTATAATGTGGAAACAAACAATGAGGTTTTAACATTCTGTCACCAAATAGATAGTGAAGTCTAGAATTTAAAATCCTGACGGATAAGGAAAGGAAAGGAACAGTTGAACCACCATTGCCATTGATTTATAACTAAATTAAACTTTCCATGCTTTGCCATCCAAACATATCCTAAAGCCCCTCAAGGAGGATGCTCGTGAGAGACAGATGAGTGGGAAGGGAGAAATAGAAACCTAGTAAGATACACTTTCTACCCCAAAAAAAAAAAAAATTTAAAGGAGGTTGACTCCGCCGGAATTTTTTCCCAGTTTGGTATAAACGGTTGAAAAATAATTCCTTTCTGTGCATAAAAAATGAGATATACGTTGTGTATTATGCCTTTCTTTATCATTACTCAACCATTTTGTCATTATTTCTATCAAGGAGTACAAGTACCATTTCTCATCTAAAAATCACTTTTTCTATTCCGTCTTCATTTCTGTTATATCCCATTTCGAGCATCAAATGAGGTCAGGCATCATCACGATCCTAACAAGCAATGCCAGGAGATAGGCATGGCACAAACTAGTGATTTACACAGCAATTTTAATAAGTTCTAAAACAGATTGATGAAATTAATTTAATGTCATTGAAACACTAATATATGATTAAATGATCATTTCCTTAAAGAAGAAACTGGTAGGAACAATTTTGCTAAACAACAAAGCACGTCTAGAGAGAGAGTCGCCATACCTTTATCGTTCTCTGCACATCACTCGCAATAAAAAACATGCCCTAGATTAATAGCAAACAATATAAAAAGGCCTGTAAGGATGTGCATTATCAATCTCATTCACATAGCTGAACTGACATAAGCTTGAGAAGATCTTTACCACAAACATAGCTCGAACTGGCATCATAAAGTTTAAGACAATGGTTGCTCTCGGAAAGAGGAATATATATAGCAGCGTAATTGCATTCACAGCTCCACTAGCACCCTAAACATGGGGAGATTTTATCAACATTAATTAATGTGGTCAAGATTGAACAATGTTCCGATACAAGCAAACTGTTATTTTCAATCTTTATACGTAGAGGAAATATGAACATCTACCTATTAAATGTAGAAAAAAAATTTCAAAAAAAAAAAGTTGTATCATTAAGATAGAAACTTCCAATAACTTGGAAAGATTGGTTGAGGTTCCATATAATTAATTCTGGAGTGAGGACACTGACTGATAAATAACTGGCAAAAATAGATATGCGCCAAAAGACAAGAAATTCTGATACCAAAATAAGATAAAATCAACAACATTGACAAATTTTAAACCAGACAGGAAAATTTTCTATTCTCAAATGCTAAGGAACAAGAAAAACAAAATGTACAACAGCACAAAGTAAGAAATTTTGCACAAACCTTTTACACGATTTATGAATAGAAACACAACCCCCCCCCCCAAAAAAAAAAAAAAAAGAAAGGGGGGAAAAAATTAAACAGATAAAAGTAGTATGATTCTTAGAATATGCATTGCTTATTAAGGGTATAGTTGACAGGTCATCCTAACATCATCTATTATGAGACAAACTGCTACACTCCTTGAAGATTAAAGAGGAGGTGAGTTGTGAAGTAGTTACAGGAAGCTTACCAATGCTTGATGTTTTGAAACCTCCACACGCCTCCAACCCTGTATCAGAACAAAAAGAAAGGTTAAAACTCACTCAAAAAACTGAGAACTTGTCACATGTCTTGCTAAGTAAAATATTGGACCAAACATTTTAGGTTTCAACCAATAAGAGAATAAACTAATATGAAACTATTAAATGCAATTTACTACTATTCACCTCAGGCACAATATTCATTGTCATGGCATACTATTAAAAGGATCCCTTTTATTTTGCCCTTTCCTTCCATGTCATTATAAAAGTTATTGCTGAACAAAACTGCACCAAACATTCATAGTAGATATTTGGAAAAGGTGTCAATGAAGAATGAGTATAAATTTGTCTGTATTGAGAAAAAGAATGAGTATAAATTTACATTTTTTCTTGCTGAGGCAGTGTTCAAATCTAGTTTTTGTTTATTTTCTTTATCCCAGACAGTGTTAAAATGTTATATCCACTCTGGCAAGAGATTAGCGGATATTTTAATCCTTGTTATCATCATCAGACCTCTGATGTTAATGCCTTGTGGGCCTGATGGGCCAAGTAAAAAACTGAACCCCCAACTGCCCCAGCAAGATACAACTTCAGCAAGTATTCGGGTCCCAAAGTTCTTCCAATCTGCCAAGAGGAAAAAGTTGTGGCATTGCTATTAGAAGCCAATTGAAAAAGGAAACCATTAAAACAGCAAATAAGAAAACAAGCAAAGAATTAAAAAAAAAAAATCCAGAAAATATGCAAGTAACAATAATGCTACACTTCAATTAAGACCCTTAAAACGCCTTGAAATACAAAAATATAATATACTTATAATAAACAAAAATTTATTATGTATGCATGCCTACAAATTAAAGGTGAATATGACATTAACTGTCAAATGTACTGACCATCATAATATCGCTTTTCTATCTACCAAATCAGTCTTCAAATACTATGCATCAAACTTCTTCACATTCTGTTTTACTCCTTAGATCACAAGCACAACAGTCACCTCATCTTGAGCGTTATCTTCCTTTCCCATAAAAAGAAGACAAAACAGTTGCTCAAAAAAAAAAAAGCTGAAAAACATATCCTCAAACTTCCACAAGATAGTGACAGCATGAAACTTTCATCAAATTGAAATCCAACCTATTCATCACAATACAAGGCCCAATAAAATATTTTAAGTGAATAAGTCAGCAAAATAATTATCATATCTATGAAACTTAAGGCATACTCCTTATTGGGTGTTATAAATCCAAATTGAGGAGAATAAATAAAACCCCATAATTAATGTTATTTGAAAAAAAAAAATCATAACTATAAGCTTGCTGTGAAAGAATAGATTTAGCTCTTTATGATCATAGCAAATTTGAAAGTGCCAATAAAATGCATTAGCCTAATGGTATGCATACTCCATGAAGCTTAGACTAAGACCAGTTTCTTCCCAAAAATATCTCCCTCTCAAGAATCCAAATATCTTTAAACTGTAATGCATAATTAATGGAACATTACTTATGGCTTTTTAACAAACACAAAACAAAACTATGTTATAAGACACTTATGTATGATCGGAAACCAAAAAAAAAAAAAAAAGAAGGAAGAAGGGCAAGCTCAAGAAATACAAATGAAGGCCGAATATTCAAGTTTAGAGCAGATAAACTTACACCAGTCCCAAAGCAGTAGAGTGCCATCATGTTCTGAATGATATGCCAAACGTCAATGTGGCTAAATGCATTGGTTATCAATGTGTGCATGCGTCCGCAATTAAGATTGTGCAACGAGATCTGCTCAGAAAAAACACTTCAGTTAGTGATCCAGATGAAGTATAGTCCATACAGTAAACTGATATAAACAATGCACGTCTCTCAAGTCTGCCCATCAATGTATAAAGCAAGGATAATGAATTAGCTATCAAACTTATGACCAACCACACCAGCAGTCTGACGTGGGCCTGAACAAGTATGGGAACCATTCCCCAAAAAAAAAAAAAAAAAAGGACTTGCAAGGAGAGATATTCATGCCGCTTGAGTACCACGAGTATTACTTGTGGCTGGTATTTGTTGGACTCCATTGTAACACCCCTTGAAGAGCTAACATCCTCAACAGCTGCACTCTGTGACACTCACTCCGCCCAGGACACACTCTCTACGGGGAGCTCTTTCCATGGAAGTTGATCTAGCTCCGGCAAGAATTGGAAGAGGCCTAAGTAATCATGAGGAACCCAGAACCCACTCTAAAAACTGACCACGAAGAGAAAAGAACTATGACACTTAAGTCCCACAAGTATACGTTTTGCTGTCTGATATGCCACTCTATCACATTCATAATGACTCTGATAGAATGAATGATATCACAGATATTATATTTTTAAGCTAAAACGACATTGCAATATCACTGTCACATTGTACGAAACATCCAACGAAAATCTAATGCATCTCCCACAAAGATAGAAATGTGGTACAAAACAATGGTCTGGCAAATACAATCTAACCGCAGCATCATCAAATACCTCATTTTATAAATCAAGGAACTTACTGTAAAGTTTTCTGACATAAAATTTTCACTTGCTATCTTCCATGATAAAAAGACAACAACGTTAGCTGTAATCAAGCCCGAAACCAGGTCTTTAGCGGTTAATCCTTTGAACCATGATCTCCTGCAAACAAGAGAAAAAATATTACCAACAGACCACACATGTAAACATCAATGTTTTGGATTTTCTGCCAACAACTAGTAATGCAAAAATAGAACTCCTTCAATTTGCATGGACTCATTGAAAAGAGTAGAAAGATAAAAGGGCGAAATTAGCTGTAAACTAGAGAGTTTTATCAGCCACATCATACTTCTTGCCCATGAACATGTACCACAGTGGCAATAGCATGCAATGCATACTGTAATCACTGAAGCAGCTACTAGTTAGTAGATACACATAAAAGTGGGAACTTAATTACCGTGAGGACTATAATAACTCATCAACCCTTCCCTTTAAAATACCAACTACTGTTAGCCACTCAAAGAACATAAACAATGAAAATCAATAGCATTCCTCGTTGAACCTCCTTAATGTCTAGCTATTTCCGCTAAAAAAACCAAGATTTTTACCGTCCACCGTTGTTGTAAGGAAAGCTACGATTGACATCAGAGCCCTTGCCATGAAACTGAGCTCTCAGAAGCTGCGGCCTAAAACCTCCGGCCCTTCCGCTAGAAATCCTGAGGACAGAGTTGGACGAATTGAACATGAAGTGACGAGCGAACACTGGACCAGAGTGGAACCCGAGAAAGATCCCAGAAACAGTATGCTCGGAGCCCCATGGATGAAAAGGGTGGAGAGGAGGATTTAGAGAAGAAGCAGAAGTGTGGGGAGGTAAAGGCTTGGGGAGAGAGTAAGAGGGGAAGATACGGCGGGTTTTGTCTGAGAGTGTGACAGCTTGGCGGAGAAAACGTTGCATATCTGAAAATCTTCGAAGGCCTAAAGAAGTGCGAAGGGAGGCTTTGGCTTGGACACCGTCTCCATTGCTGCTTCCGACGGCTTTTCAAAGCCGTGTCGACGTAAGAGGAAACGGGATCGCCCCGCTTTTCTAGCGCTGCTTCCTGATTAACCATTCGCGGGTGTTTCCCCCCTTTTTCTCCTTTTTTTTGGGGGAAAAAAAGCCCGAACTAAAATTATGAAAATATAAGAAAATACCAATGTGTTTTTTTTAGTGTTCAGATCAAATCTAATTATTTTCCAAACTAGCACAATGATATATTACAATGGTATATTGGTCATTTCCTCACGTTTTTCATAATTTCAGTTCAAGCTTTCCCCCTTTTCCTATCATTTGGAAAAGTTAATTGCCCGTGTTGAAATTTTCTATTTACAAGGATTTTTTTGTCATTTTCCTTTTCTTTTGTTTTCATATGTTTGTGTTACGTATTTACTCACTGTTTTTTTTTTCATATGTTTGTGCTAGGGCTGCACATGGGCAGGGCTGGGCAGGGCAAGCCCCTTGCCCGATGCCCAGCCCGAAAGATGAGCGGGCTGCGTTTTGCAGCCCGTTGCCCGGCCCTGCCCAGTAGAAGCCCTAACCATTTTGGACAGGGCAAGGGCGGGCTGGGCAGGGCGGGCTTTTCTGCCCAGCGTAATGACACAATGCCCTATGTCATATGTAAAAAAAAAAAATCAATTATCATGTTTTGAGACAAATGAGAGGAAAAAAATTATCACGAATGAGTCTACCATTCATATATATATATAAGGCCTATGTAGTCTTATTCTTTAGCTTTTGATTTCTTATGGGAGGTAAAAAAAATATATTTAATAATTAGAATATTTAATATTAAGCTAAATCAGTATTTCAATTTCTTAGTTTATCCATATAGTTGGTGGATTCTTATAATCATGTGAAAGCACAAAATTTGAAAGGTGGTTTTATTTTTTTTTTGTTTTAAAAAATTGGATGTAAGAGAAAAAGAAGAACATTTGACTTGGAGTAATTTAGCATATTGAATCTTATATTTTGATATTTGGCTCTTTTATATAATTATAATTTTTATGTTCCTTTCATTTTTTCTAATTTTACCTATTTTTTTAGCTAAAATAAAAGAGATAATTGCTTGAAATAATATTATCTTATATATATAATTATATATTTTTTCGGGCAGGGCCAAATGGGCAGGGCAGCATACCGTGCCCACGGCCCTGCCCTGCCCGTGAATCAGCCCGGCCCGAAGATGCCCATTTTTGCTTGGGCAGCTTTTTACTGGGTTGGGCTGGGCATTTTTCTTGCGGGCTCGGATGGGCTTATTGGGCATGCGGGCCTCATGCACACCCCTAGTTTGTGCTATGTGTTACTCACTTTTTCTTGTCCATGGATATATCTGAAGTTATAAACTAATATTTTTATTTTTATTCTTATTAAATATATGTCATTTATTATCTTTCTGAAATAAACTTTCATTCATCATTTCTCATATATTCTCTTTACAAATAAAGATATAACAGGAAATATAATATATGTATTTTACATATTTATTTCTTTTAATTGCATTTAACTAATATTTTAAACCGCGTAACTTTGGCAGTTGTTTCCTATAATGATAGAGGGAATAATTAATTTCGGCTGGAGCGTGCTGCTTTTTCGGCTAGAGACTAAAGTATGCTTTTAATATTTTAACTTTACATAAAATTTTAGTTTGATTTCTTAACTTTTAAAAATATTTTTAGTTCATTAATCCTAAAATTATTGATAAAAAAATGATAATATTGGGATTTTGAATGTTGATAAAATATTCTCAAGACTAACATATTAAATTTAATTTTCAAAACAACCATTATTGCTACCAAAAAAGTTATCATTTAAAAATATATTTTTAGTTTAAGGAGAGGCTTCCGCGTGAACGTCGTCTCCATTGCTAGCAATGCCCCATGCCTTTGAAAGCCGTTTGTACGTTAAAGGAACTAAGCAAGCGTGACTGTGATCGCCCGGTTTTTGTTACCCTGCTTTCTCATTGCTTCATTCTTCTTTTTATTTTACCCTTTTTTTCATGTTTCTATTCCCTGTTTTCACCGACACAATTAATACTCAATATAAAAATTATTTAACTAATTGGATGAATTAAGGAGATTAAGTAGATTAGTTAATCATAATAAATGTAACACAATCCCCCTAAAATAAACCTGCGTAACATTAATTTACCTGTATATGATCGCGTAAATAGTGGAATTCGTTTTTCATGATAGACCAGTCAAGTGTGCTGCCCCTAAATATTAGTACAGAGAGAGCCGCTGAGACAGCTAGGAAATTATTCAGATTTCGAGATGTTATGTAACAAGCTCTTCTTTCTTGGTATTGTTAACATAGGTTCTTGGACTGATTGTATGAGAACGGTTGGTACTGTCTTGTGTGTTCATGAAAGGGCTTGCATTAGGAAGTGATAATTGCAGGCCAGTACTATGTGTAGCCCTTGTAGTTCAATCTAATAAATCTGCAATTCCCCAGCAACTTTAAAGAATTAAGTGGCCCTTGTGAACTGGGACACAGGGTATCTGGGTTTCATTGTCTGTAGCTGTCTACCGACTAATGCAGAATAGACACCATTGTTGCTGAGAAGGCCTTCATGGGTGCCACTTTCCACAATCTCACCATCAGAAACAACTACAACTGTATCAGCACTCTTCACAGTAGATAGCCTGTGAGCAATAACAAGAACTGTCCTTCCCTTCATCAGACGTTCCTTAGCATCCTACACAATTTGCATCCCAAGAACATTATTATGCTATGTGTTTTATGATACAGGAAACACAAAAACACACATTGAAAATCATGTGTTTGGCTGTGTCCCCCACCATATAACCCCAAAATTATATTACTTCTGGTTATTAATATAAGAGCTAGTTTAATATTTAATTTGATTCTAAATATAAAACAGCCAATCCATTTTGTCTCATATTTATCTTTTTTTTTAAGGTAGTTCTTGTAATAATTGCATATGTTAAAGGTTTTATCAAATGATAGTTCTAGCCAATGCATTTGATTAATAAAGTTTTTTTAGAAAACAACACCTATTTATTACAAATAACTAACTTGATTGATTTCTTTAATATATTCAAATTAGTCAACTAGATCTTATATTAAGAATCGGACGGAGTAATATTTTATGCATCATTGGAGGTGGAGCGTTCAACCATGTGATGCTACTTCTATTATGATCTTTGTTGTCCAAAAACTGACCTGTACTAAATATTCGCTTTCAGCATCCAGGGCACTAGTGGCTTCATCCAGGAGAAGAATATTTGGGTCCATAAGCAAGGCTCTGGCAATTGCTATTCTCTGTTTCTGCCCTCCTGAAAGCCTTACCCCACGCTCCCCAACATGGGTCTGATATTTGTCTGTGAATTTTGATACGAATTCATGCGCATTTGCCATTTTCTGCATTCAAATTACTACCAATTACGAGGGATCGGGAGTTAAGCAACTAGAGGTCTTAGTCATAAAAAGAAAGTATTGAATCTTACAGCTGCATTTTCTATATCAGCAGGATTTACTTTGCATTCAAATCCATAAGCTATGTTCTCCTCAATGGAACAGTTGAAAAGTACAGGCTCCTGACTCACAATACTGATCTGCGTATCAAAGTGCATGCTATAATTATTTATGTCACCAGAGTTACTTAAGCATGAATATGATCAAGATACCTTCTTGTGCAGATGCTCATGTAATACTTCTACCAGCGGAACCCCATTCAGCAGGATCTTTCCCTTGGTTGGGTCATAAAATCTTTCAATTAGGTTTGCTATTGTAGTCTGCAGTTAACATATAAAAGAGTTTATCTGCTTTATATATTTCTCATGTCAATTCAATAAACTTATGTTCTTTTTTTCCTTTAATTCACAGCATGGTTCTGCGAATTAAAAGACGGGGAAAAGAAAGGGGAAGATCCCCATAAGCATAAGGAACATACCTTTCCACCACCACTTGGACCAACAAGAGCAACCTTTGAGCCAGGCCGCAATTTCATTGTAATTCCCTATACATGAAAAAGGTGCAGCGAACTTGGTCATAATAATTTTCCACTCAACTAAATGGAGGCTTCACAAAATTACACGAAGGCTGAAAAGTTGCACTCTTTATAACTTATGGGCATGTAATTTGCTATAGATTCTATATTTCACGCTGGTATTGATGATTATAGCATATCTACCACTGGAACAAAGAAAAAGAAGGAAACTATTACCTTAAGTACCATATGACTAGGACGAGATGGATATGCAAACCAGACATCATCGAGCTCCACCTCCCCATTTTGTTCTCTACGAGAATAGGCAATTTAATTTATTTATTTATTATTTTGGTTAGTAGAAAATGCAAATTTAGTATTGATCCTAAACTTGCCTTTTTCCTGGAAAGGAACAAAAAAGTCCTCCTTTGTTTTTCCTTGAACTTAGTTACTATAATGGACAAAAGCTCAGAAGTCCAGAAAACTGACCCCAGAGGACATTTGTTTCCCGACATTGGCATTGATGACACACGATCAAGAAGATGAAACACCCGTCTGCTTGCACCCACGGCTTTCATGGCTATGGCATACAATCCTGAGAGACCAGATATAGAAACTCCCACTGCAAGTGATGTAGTTCCGTTAAGCAACTAAAATATAACTTCATATTAAATGAGAGTATAAAAGTAATAGATCATACAATAACTAACCATTGAGACTATAAAGAATGAAGGCCGTGAGATCACCAGAGGACATGGAATCTGTAATCGTCAAATAAGCCCCATAGATAACAACTCCAATAATTGACAGTGTATTTGCCGCAAAAATGCCTCCAGAAAAGAGTCCGACAACTTTCTGGTTCACCAAGCCACTGAAGTTAGAAGTTGTAAACGTAAAGTCCAACAAATGGATTAGATATACAGACAAGCACACACAGAATCAACAATGGATAACTCACTGCTTGTTTAATTCCAAGCTTAAGTGTCTCATCAACTTTCTTAGAGTAGCGGGATATTTCATATTCTTCTTGTGCAAAAGATCTTACCGTCCTCACGGCACCAAAGGATTCCTAAGCATCAAAGACTCGCAGACTTATTCAG